AACAAAAGTAATTTTAGGCAAAGACTAATATACATTGAATCATAAATATATTGCTTCCCTTCAAGTTTCTTTTGTGAGTTTATGGAAATCCATGAGGTCAAGTGTTGCATTCATGTTCTACTCCACCGCCCAGTAGATAGAAGCAGGGTTTAGGATTTGAAACAATTTGTTATTAAGTAAACACAAATTTTCAAGGAAAGAAATTTAGGGTAAAAAAAAAAAAGAAAGAAAAGAAATTTAGGGTAGAAGATCAGTTTTTTAGGGAGAGCTTCCCTTTCATAATTTTATACAGTGCCAGGCTTCCACTACATGTATGTAAAGAATAGTAAAAGAAATTCAACGGGTCAGGAAAACAAGTGATTCCACCATGTCCTTTCTATACTAGCTGATGGAGAAGATTCAGTTGCCAAAATTGTATTTTGGTTGCCGATATCCAGTTCCAGCCTAAGGAGATATGAATTGATCACTCCCTGGTTTTCACCTCATGGGAAACCTTAGCCAGGGAGATTTTATGCTGGACTATTCTGTGATACTGTGGTTAAATCCATTATTTCTCCTAATAGTCTTCCTTCCTCAGAACTTTTTGGGTGTGAGTTGAATTATCATTGCAGGGAATAAATCTGTTTCTCATCTTACTATGGTAGGTGTGACCACATGACCAAAAGATGGCCAATGAAATAAAAGCAGAAGTGGTATTCCTTAAAATGGCAGGGTATCCTTTCTCTTACTTTCCTACTTTTATTTCTTGATGGCTGAAATGTAGATGTGATGGCTGGAGCTGGATCCAATAATGATGAGGTAAAAGATACATAATGAAGATGGTAGAAAAACAAGATAGAATCAGGTTTCTTCTTATGAAGCCACCATAATAGCCTAGACTGCCTACCTAGATTTTTGGAAGAGAGAGAAATAAAAATATTTTGGGTTTTTCTAATCAACAGAGATACCTTGAGAAAACAGGTCAGAAGATGGATTTTTTTTCCTAATTATTTGTTTTGCCATGATTTCATAATTTTCACCACCAATCAATATATATTGAACATTATACGAAGGGCACTGCTGGATGATCTGGTTTTAAATTGGCTTAAGGACAGAGATCAGGACCATCATAAACAAAGTTCAGTTGTTAAAAAGTCCTTCATGGAAATTGCTTCAGCGCTACTACATAAACAAAGGCAGCTGTATTTGGTCACAGCCATAGCTGTTTCTGACATCTGTGTTTTCCCTGGCAGCAGAGGTTGTGCTTATCCTGAATCTCCCTTATGATTTAAACACAGCCAGAATCTGTTTCTGCATTCAAACTTGATGTTTGGTGCAAAATATGCAAAACCTGTGGACACTAATGGTCATGGCATTGTGAGGCAAATTTGCATCCTCGCTCTGTCATTCTAAGAAGCACCCACTTTTGTGGTTCGAGGTTGAGCACAGGCATGTCTGTTTCCCTCTAGATCCTGACACAGTGATACAGATTCACAGGATCTGGATAAAACAGTTTTCATGCAGCAACTTGCCTGCCCTAGCCCTACAGGAGCCAAATTACTTCTCACCCCTCCAGGCAGCATTCAGTGGTGTGGGTGGAGTGAGGTAGAGGGCAGTGTCCTAGCAGTCCTGAGTCCTCAGCTGTCTGGATGAGGGACAGGACTTCCATCAGGTCTGAGAACAGCATGGGCTCAGTGCCTCCTGGCTTATAGGGACTTCTGGGTATGGCCCAGCTCTGAGAGCTCTGTGCAAAATAGGAACCTGGTAGCCTAATCCCACCCACAGTAATGAGGTGGGGCCACAGAATACAAGGGTGGCCATGAGGGGCTGAGGTTTTTCTAGGCACTTAAAAATGATCAACCAGTCCTTTTTTTTTTTTTTTTTTTTTGCCCCCAACCAGTCCTTTTTAAGTAACATAGCTAAAAGCCAACTGCCTGCTTATTTTCCATACTAGCCAGAGCAACTGAATGCAGACAGAGATACTATACTCAGATTGCACAAACCAGCCTTCTATTCAAAGCCTATTTGCTGCTTTGCCTACCTTAGGGGACAGTCTGGTGTCAAAGGAAAAACATGTCTTTACAAAGTAACACTTGCCTGGAAGGGCTGAGACCCCATGATGAGAATTATTCCAGGGAATTTTTACCAAAATATTCAATAATTACCACCGTTCCTAGCCAAGTGCTAATGTTTATGCTACAGGAGGATAGAAACAAGTACACAAAAATAGACACACTATCCAAGGGCTTCACTGCCCAGAGTTGGGTTTTTAGGCTTCACCTAAATTATTTCTAAATGCCGCCCATGTCTGGTTCTAATTTGACCCCCAGAGGAAGCCTTCAGGTAAGTTGACACAGAGGGTTCCCCAGCTGGCAAACCTAAGCATTGTGGTAGCTAAGAGACTCATTTCTCATGGTATGCAAATGAAGTGCCATTTCATTTTTGCATGTTTGATTTATATGGTCTGGTGCAGGACACTCTCATCATTGCTTGGGATATTGAAAAACAGCACCAAGGTTTGAGGGAGTCCACACTGAGGTAATGCCTGGTCCAGGAGACTATCTGAACTCCATTAGGGTATCACCAACAGCTGGTAGTAGGTCCTAGTTGTATGATAAAGCTTGTGAGACTTAGAGAAAATTAGTACCATGAGTGATTAGTAATAGTCATACTAAATTAGGGGCAGGGAGGTGTGTAAACAGGTAAGTGGTACAGGAGGGCTGCATTCCAAGTAACAAACTTCATTCATTTTAACCAGTCTGTGACCCTCCTCCCCCATTTTTCCATCTTTGAAGTTGTGATTCATCCTGTAACCTTACCAAGCCAGACTGTATCTTTGAAAAGTGGACAAAATATTTTAAGTCTCACACACTCTTCCAGAACCTAGCCAAGCCCCCATTAAGAACTGGAATTTATGTCCCCTCCCCTTGAACTGGGGAGAGAGGAGGATTTTGTGACTGCCTCCACTAATAGTGTGTGGCAAAAGTGATGCTAAGTGAATGATGAAGCTAGGCCATTAAAAAATGATACTGCTTCTACCTGGCCTTCTCTTTTGGGATGCTCATCCTTGGAACCCAGCCACCACTGCTCGGAGGAAGCACACGCCATGTGCAGAGGCCCTGGTTCTCAGGCCTGGCTGAGGTCCCAGCTGACAACCTGAATGCCACCATGGAGACAGATCCTCCAGCCCTAAGGAGGGCTGCCTGTGCACAGAGCACAGCTACTAAGTTTTGTGGCGATCTGTGACACAGCAACAGAAGACTGAAACGGTCCTCCGTAAGCCAGGCAGCAATCACGACACTGGTCACCACCGGCACGTGCGCACCAGAACTTGCAGAGTAAGTGCCCAGTAACTGCAGACAATAGAGAAGCGTGTTTCAAAGAGACGCTGTGTCACCAACATTTTTTATGGTACAAAGGACAGTACTGTAAGGAAAATACTGAGAGGTGATTTAGAAGGATCAGACTCTGAATCGGGAGAAATCCGAGGCATACCATACCAAATTTATTGTATATGTTTTCCTTTATAAGGATGCACAAAGTAAAACATATATCTAAGTTTAAAAGAATATCCAGGGGCACCTGGGTAGCTAAGTTGTTGGGTGTCTGCCTCAGGCTCAGGTCATGATCCCAGGGTGCTGGGTTCGAGCCCCGCGTTGGGCTCCCTGCTCAGCGGGAAGCCTGCTTCCCCCTCTCCCACTCCCCCTGCTTGTGGTTCCCTCTCTTACTGTGTTTCTCTCTGTTGAATAAATAAAATCTTTAAAAAAATATATATATATCCAATGAACATTAAAGAAATGCTGAGTCATAAGAAGTGTGTATGGTTTCTAGGATAGCGTTTTCCTTTCTCAATGGTTGAAGTTCATCTTACAATTGATGACATCTTAGATTTAATGAAATCAAAGTATTTATTGTTCTTGATTTAAAACCTCTCTAATTACATCACCAAATACAAGTTTTCTAAGAATTTCACAAATTTTTCATTTTTCTTTGAAAATTGAAAAAAAAACAAAAAACCCAAACCCAAAACACCAGCAGGTACAGGCTTTAAGTTCAATTTAATTTTTACTTCCATAATTATGTCCACAGCAAAAAAAATATCTTGGGGATTTTTTAAAAGGTTAATTTTCTGAATTTAATATTCCAGAGTAATGACTTTCCAGGAACCCATGAAGTCACAGGACTCTTACATATTTCAAATGTTTTAGGTGGCTGATCCCTGATCTGAGGAGTGAGGGAGAGTGGGCTTAACGAAAGTGAGTGCCTCCGAGCTACATGAAAGATCTGAGGAACATTAAAGAAGCCTACTGAATGAAGAGGTTTACAAAACAAAGATGTGATGGTGTTGGCTTTATTACTACTGTTAAATTAACAGAATCAAAACTTCCATAGATTTCAAACACAAATTTATTCATAAAATATATGAAAAGATTTGACAAAAAATAAGGCTAGAAAACCTCCATAATCTTATACATCTCAACATCACTTATCAGTCAATAACCAAAAATCTAATTTGACTCCTATTTTTTTTTTAAGTAAAAAGAGATCATTGTAAATATTCACTTGGTAAATAATATTTCATTTTAGGAGTTACACAGCTGAAAACAGTTACCCAAATCTAGTCTGACCATGCCATTTTGGAATTTTAGAAAGTAATATTCTTTACAGAAACTTACTGACACAGAAATCTCTCAAAGTATATTTACGAAGTTAATTCACAGTACTTTTAGAACTATTTTAAACCAAGTGTTACGGTTAAAATATGTAACTCTGGGGATGAAGAACAAATTTAAAATACAGACAAGTATCAACTTCTTCTTAGAAATGGAGGGAAGATGGACAGAGCTGGAGACAGTGGTTCCCACTGCAACAAACCAGTTCTGACTCCGGTCGCTGGAAGACAGCACTCTGTGTTTCACACCCACAGAAAGGCTAGTCTGGACGTTGGTATCTGGGGTCTGTTTTCATCAGTCAAACCCAGCTCTGCTCAGTGAGGGTCGGAAGATCCCAGCGCATGTCCTAAATACTAGGAGTGTTCCTCTGGAAGGTTTCAAGTCCTAAGTCTTCAGATCAAATTTTATGGAGTTTTGTAATAATCAATACTCTTACCATTTGATCAAATGAACTACAGATGCAGAGGCCCCTTTTATCTGGACTCCAGTCCAAACTGGAAATGGGCTGAGTAGACAAGGTGACATTCTGCAGAAGGCTGACGGAGCCCGCAACTCCCATCTCTACTCCCTCAGAATCTTTCTTTGACCGCTGAATAGGGTATTCACTGCGAACAAGGCCAGAGTAGTAAGGAGAGAAATCTTAGCATTCTCCACACTGTGTTTACAAGCATATAGACCAGTAGCTCTATTTTTACTTCTATGTTGATTACTACAACTGATAACTACTTAAAGAATCTTTCTAATGTTGTTTTATACCAATAAAGAGAATATATGGGTGTTTGTGTGTGTGTGTGTTTCAAATATACACACAAAAAAATCAGCTTGTTGGGGTCCATTCATTCAAAAAACACTTTCTGAATTAACTAGATAAGATGTTCTAGGAACTCTCGTGTGCTCAGTAACAGAATTTAACTGCACTACTACCAAGGGAGACTGGCAAATGGAAAAAAAGCTAAGTATCATTTTACTTAAACCAAATCTCTTTTGCTGGTAATACGCCGACAGCAAATCTCCAAACCAGTTTGAAGATTATACTAGATATCTGTTCTGGTAAGGATTAAAGTTCATACTGAGATAAACTTCCAATTTCTAATTACACACAAGTCGCCAATCATCAAACATTCTAGCTGTAAATGTGTTTGCACATCACATGGAATACAACTCCATACGTGGATTACAAAGAAACGGGAACCAGTTCTTCAAAGAAGCAGCCTAAGGAGTTTGGTTCCCAGGCAGAATAGTGACGCGCTGCTGCATGGCTTAGCTAAGGACACAGGCAGAGCCTAATGGGGAGTGCAGACTGGGCTGGAAGAAATCAGGGAAGGACAATGGGCAAGATATTAGGAAAACAGTAGTTACCAAATGGTCTGTCTACCCAGCATGTTCCCAGAATTCTTAAAACTTTTCCTCTGCTTTTTACTCACAAAAACTATACGATGTTGATCTAATGCATTCACTCTGGTTTTTGTGTTTTTTTTTTTTTTGTCAGCTAGATCCCTAAATACCTTAACACTTTTCAAATGTAGCCCTGTTTTTCAGCTTCCCTGCTAGCTTCTAAAAGGAGCTAATAAATAGACATGTATTTTGCAAATGTGAAAGTCCCAGCTATACTGAAGATGGTGTTTTTCTTTTCTTTTTTTTTTTTTTTTTAAAGATTTTATTTATTTGTCAGAGAGACAGGCACAGCGAGAGAGGGAACACAAGCAGGGGAAGTGAGAGAGGGAGAAACAGGCTTCCCAAGGAGCAAGCAGCCCAATGTGGGGCTCGATCCCAGGACAGTGGGACCATGACCTGCGCTGAAGGAATACACCTAACGACTGAGCCACCCAGGCGCCCCTGGTGTTTTTCTTCTTATATCATTAATCAAACTTTATTTTTGAAGTATCTTTCATTTGCAGGCTTGTGTTGTTAGGTTTTTTTTTTTTTCCCTTGAGTGATGGAAAAAGAAATACCATTCACTCCCATCTTTTAAATGAGCAGCTGACCTCGTACATGCCACCTTAGGGACTTGGGATTCAGGGCACATCTACAGCTGTAACTCAGGCAGCCCACAGCACACAGAAAGCAAGCTCAATGACCAGGCTTTTCCTGAAGACCCACTGGGGCCTCGGCGCTCTTCTGGTTCTTTCATTACAGTGGTATCTGAACTTGGGCAAGTGAATTATCAGGATCTAAAATTAAGAATTCCAACCCTTGGGGCACCTGGGTGGCTCAGTGAGTTAAAGCCTCTGCCTTGGGCTCAGGTCATGATCCCAGGGTCCTGGGATTGAGCCCCACATTGGGCTCTCTGATTAGCGGGGAGCCTGCTTCCTCCTCTCTCTCTCTCTCTCTCTGCCTGCCTCTCTGCCTACTTGTGATCTCTGTCCTCCTCTCTCTCTCTCTCTCTGCCTGCCTCTCTGCCTACTTATGATCTCTGTCTGTCAAATAAATAAATAAAATCTTAAAAAAAAGAATTCCAACCCTTTTGTTATTCTCTAGAGGTAGTGTTGTAATGACCAGATGGTAATATTTCCAAAAAGCCTTCAGTCACATTTTTCATATCAAAACAAAAAAAGACAAAAACAACAATTTTAATTAAAAAACCACAATTTTAAACCTATGAAAAGAATGATTCCTAAGGTACCCTGATATATGGAAGACACAACTACAATGACAAGTATATGCAGAGTGTCAAAAGAAGGTTAATATTTACTAAGTGTAAAGTAAGTACATTAATGTTTTAAAAAGCTGACAAAAATAACACTTATGTAATACCATTTAATTTAAAATCATTTCAAAATGAACTAAGTCAAAGGAGGAAGAAAGACAACAAAGTTCAATCCAATCCTACTTTACTCCCACCAGTAACTTAAAAAGCAGCAACGTGCACAGGCAGAGACTTACTACTTCCAGAGGTGAAGGCTGCCGGCACCTCCAGCTGTCAGAAAGAGCTCTCTGTTCTGTGGCAGGTGTCGGACCTGCCACACAGTTGATTTATGAGCCTATGAGGATGAGAGGCACATAACTAGTTTTTACGTTTATATGATAAACAAAGACTGCCCTAGAAGAGAAACTCTGTAAAAAAAATTTTTTTACTACTATAATTTCAACTGTCATAAAAGTAAAGTATTTCTGGCACATCTCTTTGTAAGGGCTACAGAGATTTATAGGAGTCCATCACAAATTAAGAAAAGCATCATTTTTCTTTATTGCTTTATGAAACAAAGTTCTACTGGATTAAAAAATGTTACATTAAAAGTCCATATAAGTTTATAGTACCATATAAATTATGCAAATAGATTTTTACACATTTAAGTATCTCTAGCTCACTCTGAGAGAGAAGAAAAACTCGAAATACAAACACATATACTTCCTCCTAAGGGAAAAAAAAAGGATATTGAATTAAAAAAAAAAGAAAAAAAGAAAGTAGACTTTTTTTTTTTTAAAGATTTTATTTATTTATTTGACACAGAGACAGAGAGATCACAAGTAGGCAGAGAGGCAGGCAGAGAGAGGGGGAAGCAGGCTCCCCACTGAGCAGAGAGCCCGATATGGGGCTCGATCCCAGGACCCTAAGATCATGACCTGAGTTGAAGGCAGAGGCTTAACCCACTGAGCCACCCAGGCGCCCCTAGACTTTATTTTTTACAGCAGTTTCAGGTTTCCAGCAAACTGAATGGGAACTACAAGAAGTTCCCATACACCAAATGAAATTTAACTTAAAGCTCCCAGAGCCTTATCTTTAATTTATACCATTTGACCTGTCTAGTCTTCAAAATAGGGATCACAAGACTTATAAATGGTGTTTAAAGCCATAATAAGCCAGGGTCTTTACCAGTCATATTAAACTAAAAGAGGTTAGCACCTCGACAACAGCTAATAAATCAATGTTAATGGTGTAATATTCACTATAAGGGATTTGAGAGAGAAAGAGAGAGAGAGAAATGGAGGGAGGCAGGGAGAAGGAGAGAGAAGTGGAAAGGAGGGAGGAGAGTCGGATGGCGGGAAATAGGAAAGATTCTGTTTGCAGAGACAGTGAGACCAACTAGATCTAAGTCATTCTTAGATACTTCACATTTCAGTGAGTGATTAGTCTTGGCATTTGACTTAATAGTCTTATAAAAGGATTACCATTAGCAGATTAAAATCCCATATCTCAAAATATACCCTTTAAGTGTGTAAGATTCCTCAATTGAGTGGGTTTAAGCTGTTAAAACCTATTTCAATTTTAAACTTCTCCTTTGGTTCTGAAAGCTGATTAAAAAAAAACCACCAAAAAACTAAAAAGCAAAAGGGGACATGACCTCTTAAAATATATTGGATGAGGGGTGCCTCGGTGGCTCAGTTGATTAAGCATCTGCCTTTGGCTCAGGTTATGATCCCAGTGTCCTAGAATCGAGCCCTGCGTTGGGCTCTCTGCTCAGCAGGAAGCCTGCTTCTCCCTTTCCCTCTGCCTGCTGCTCTGCCTACTTGTGCTCTGTCAAGTAAATAAATAAAATCTTAAAATATATACTGGATGAGAAAAGTGTTATAATTGTATAAAGGATAATTTAACAAAGTGCTTTATATTGTTTGTAGATACATAAGTATATTCAGAAATAACAAAGGCAAACAATATTGCAATTTATAGCTGCCTTGTTAAGATTTAGTTCATCAGGTAGTGACAGCAATTTATCTGCAGTGATAATAATAATTAACAGTAATAACCAGACAAAATAGGAAGGTTTGAGAAGTACTGCTGAATCCACAACGGAGGGGGAGAGCACAAGAGAGTAAATTTTTATTTCCTGAGCAACTTATATATTTCAATCTTATAGAAACTACAAATCTGTAACTGATCTTTACTTTCACATTCAAGGAAGGTAGAGTCACATTCCCAACCCATCTCTGGCCAACAACAGGGTGTTTCAGCTTGAGTCTGATGCAGTCCTTACTGCAGGCTTCATCATAGTTTTTTTCTTTCTTTAACCAGTATTTTCCCTGTGCTCTGCTTTCTTCATCTATTTTTGAGGTTGTAATACCATGTTTCCTTCTAAGCTACCTCAAATACTTCTGGAATAAGGTAAAGTATGTATATATGTGTAAGTGACTGACAAGAATTTTTTTGAACCTACTATGTGCCCACGATTGATGCTTTAAATAATTTCACTTAATATAGCAAACCAGAATATAAAATGTGAAGAAATGACATAAGGTATATGTGTTGATATGTTCTGAAACGTATGTAGATACTAACACAAATATTATATATTTATTAGAAAACACCAGGCGAGATTTTGTTGATCTAATTCTTCACATCAGCTTGTTGTCTTGGGATTGTTCCTAAAGTACAAAATAAGATTCTTAGCCAACTGAGGCCTTTATTATAATCAAGAAATCTAAAACTGATAAACTTTGAGAAAGTACTCTCTGCACAGAAAAACTTGTCAAGTTCCCACAAGAATATATTAAAAATAGCTCCTTTCATATAAAGACCTGGAAGGAACCTTGGTGACTAATTCTATTTATTAGTCTAAAACAAGCTATGAATATTTCTGTTCATAGAAAGACATTTCCCTCATATTTACCTTCTCTGAAACAGAAGCAAAACCTTTCGTTGGATGCTGTGTTCTCATATCAAAAACATGAAACTTTCCTTCTAGTGATGTAGCTACTAACTTATTCATACTTATGTCTTTTCTGTCAAACTCCAAGCTACATACCTGAAATAGAAAATATTTATTATTAATAGCCTAATAATTATTATTCAGGAGGCTCTTTTAAACTAAGTAAAACAACTTTAAAAGTATCAGTTCATGTGAAAGCATTTAAATAATCACTTTATCTTTTGAGGATCAATACATCAAATACTTTTTTTTTTAAGATTTTATTTATTTATTTGTCAGAGAGAGAGAGAGAGAGAGAGAGCGAGCACACAAGTAGGCAGAGGCGGAGAGAGAAGCAGGCTCCCTGCCGAGCAAGGAGCCTGACATGGGACTCGATCCCAGGACCCTGAGATCATGACCTGAGCTGAAGGCAGCGGCTTAACCGACTGAGCCACCCAGGCATCCCTCAAATACTTTTAACTGAAAAAATTTCTTCTTGGTTCATAGGATCAATAAACCATTTTGAGTTCCCCTGTCTAGAAGATTAATTTGGAAAGCTATATAATCTTTTATTATTGTTACATAGTTATTTTATATAATGCAACCAAAGCTAATTTTAGAAAACAGGAAGGAACCACATTCTTTACTAACGGTATACGGTATATGACTCAGGACCCAAAAATCTCCAAGTACTTGGGGAGGCTGTTACTATTCAGGCTTTCTTATATTAGCAGGAAAAAAGGCCTCTTAGTAGCTCATTTTAATATCACACTGCATAGCTATAGGGGTCCACAGATAGGCCACAGGGACTGGTGACTCACCAGGGATTGTCATACCACATCTGAGTATGTGTTCACTTCCTGAAGAGAGGCTCCATGATTTTCATTAAGTTTTCAAAGGGCTCCACAGACCCAAAAGTTAAAAACCACTGGCAGAGGGGCTGTACAAGATGAATCATTAGAGGCGCTCTCCTTATGAAATAGTTCAGAGGTGGACACAAACATGCTCAAGCTATAAAGCAAGCAAATATACCTTACCCCATTTTTTATGTTTGTCTCCCACCGCAACGACATATTTCTGAGATCAAACAGTTTGATATCCCCATTATCATAGCCAGCACAAACAACACGTTCCTCTTGATTATAAGCATTGCCTAGAAATCAAGATACATTGCAGATCTGTACAAATGCTCATTTGAAGGCTGCTAAAATAATGTTATAAAATGACACATATAGCTTGTACCAAATCTCACACACACACACACACACACACAATCACACTAGGCAGAATCTCGTTTTGCTAATCCTGACAGGACATCAAGATTATTAAGTTGGTTATCTAATATTGTTTTTCAAAAAAAAAGCTCATTTGCTGAGATTCTCTACTGAAGGGGTAAGTGAAAGTGTTCACTGGAGTCTAAGTTCAAAGCAAATGTTCTTTCTCTACAATATTTGCAGACTAGGAAGTCTCGAGAATCCTTCTATATTCATCTACACGTCTTGTGACCTTTTATCATTCCTACCCTGCACTATAATTAGTGTGGATATCATGCCCTCTTTACTAAACTACAAGGTTCTTAAGGCAAATCTCTCTCACCTTTGCATGTCCACAGTATTCTGGACATACTTGACATTCATAGAAGAGTAAAAATAATGGATTATTTTTCAAACTTAATGTCCCAAATTTAAAACTGCACTTATATCCCTTAGATCAAAGTTGAAAGGCATTAATGGACCCACAGGTAATTACTTTTTAATTATCACATCAAATTTTAGATGATGATTCTAAATACAAATCCTGAAATTTCTCACCAAACTGTACATGTACTAAGTTTATATATTATTGTTCATAATGTACAAACATAGCAATTCCCATATAAGAACTTGTTTTTTCTTTAATTAGAAACCTAAAACTTTCCTCTGATTACAAAATACTGCAATTTTAAAATAACGTATGAAAGTTAAACAGTTCACATATACTGTTAAATCAAATTTTTAATGTCTGTTATCAACACAGGATTATACTAAGAAAACGAAGAAAGAACATACAGGTTTCAAACTAAGTATGACCCATATCCTTTAGTAGCAAAAATTATTTTAATTATGGCTCTCAGTAAGAGATACTAGGGCACACATCAATTAGTCCTACAAAGTCAATATTCATTTTATGTATAGTAACAGAAGAACACATTTATCAAATTATAACAAATAATTCTGTAATGGCATAACTATGTTCTAGAAAATAAACATCTTCTGTGTAGCATATAATGTAAGATTTGTTAGGTCACTTTCGAGCATCTGAATCCCTGCTTGGCTCCATTAATGGCATTTGGCTCTAAACTAGGTCAACATTATCTAGTTAAACGGAAGTATATAATAGTAGCAAATATTTGTGAGCACTTAATAATTTAAGCACAAATCTAAGCACTTTACATGTATTAATTCATTGAATCCTCATAATACTATTAGGTAAATTCTATTATTCGTTCCACTTTATAAATGAAGAAACTAAGGAAAAGAGAAGCTCAGTAAATTGCCCACTTCACTCAGCCAAGAAATAACAAAGCGAGGATTCAAACCGAGGCCCCGGAGGCTGACATTAACCGCCACCTCTATTTGCCTCAATAAACTATCAGAATAATCCACAAAACAGAGTGTGATGAGACTATTGGGAATTTCTCGAAGCACTGTGCTTTTTACTATCTGATACCTCAAATGCAAGGTTCTTCAATAATTTACCGAATGCCACAGTCCAACAGTCTCTCTTGTTTTCTCCTTGTACAGGTTCCATATTAGCAACAGGATCATCTTTTTGTCTTGGGTCCCACACCTTCACAGTTCCTGTTGTGCATATATGTGAGTTGGCAAAATTCAATAGTGATTGATGACATTTCTTTTCTGCATTCTCTTCCTATGACTTCCTGTGTATATGGCCATATTACAGATAGTATAACACTTAAAAATATTCATGTATTTCTGACTTCTACTTGGGCAAGTTGTATTTAAAGTTTTTTTTTTTTTTTTTGGAAGACTTTATTTATTTATTTGACAGACAGAGATCACAAGTAGGTGGAGAGGCAGGTGGGGGGGTAGGGGAGCAGGCTCCCCGCTGAGCAGAGAGCCCGATGCAGGGCTCTATCCCAGGACCCTGAGACCATGTTCTGAGCTGAAGGCAGAAGCTTAACCCACCGAGCCACCCAGGCACCCGGGCAAGTTGTATTTAATATCAGATACAACCCATATGTTACCATCAGACTTGATTTCCAAGTTAATAGATACACAGAAAAGCCAACAACTGTTCTAAAGTTACCAACAAGGTATAACTGACAAGGGAAACACAAATGTTACTGACTCAGATCATGTCTTTCTTTGAGTCTAAACCTAATGTACTATTTATTTAGAAGAATATCAGCGTTAATTCTTTTCCATACTACCATATAATCATGGGCATTTTTCTTATACAGATGAACAAACTCTAATTTTTACATTTATGATTTCTTATATGGGGTTTTAGAATACTATCTCACATACAATTAAGTTTAATTTCCCTGTGGCAGTAGAGATGAGGGAAATATTAAATAAAATTAACACATATTTCTTTTCATTGCTTCTCCTTTTAATGCAAACTGCAGGACTACTAACTAAACTCACCACTGCCTATGAGAAATACAAATGCATTTAATAAAATGGCTAAAAGGCAAGTACTTAAGAGAGAACAGGACAAGGGTGAAAAGTCCTTAAAAGAGATAATAAACTCAGAAAAAGGGGAGATATCCCACTAGATTTATCTCCAAGGATAAAATAAAGTCGGTTATTAAAAAGGCTATTTTAAAGAGAATAAAATGCTCACAAATGTGACAAGAGGTTATTTTATTACGCTAGAGGGTTCATACAAATTGATAAGATGCATATGAAATTTGCAATAGTTAAATGAGCAAAGAACATAAACAAAATTCACAAAGCAAAACTAACTGAAAAACAAATGTAGAAAGACGTTAACACAAATTGGAATGGACTACTTTTTTTATCTATAAAATTAGGGGAAAAAAGGAAAATCAATGCTGGTAGGATAGACTGGAAATCCACCTCATCTATCATAGTTCAGAATGGACATGAATACTTCGGAAAGTCTGACAATAACTTTTAAAAATAATAAAGTATGCTTATTCTAAAAAGTTATATACATGATGATACTCATTCCCTCATTATTTTATAGTCACTCTCCCAAAACAATAAACAAAAACTTAAAGCAAACTGAATGCTTAACAAAGACATAGTTAAGGGCACCTGTGACACATCTATAGGATAGAATATTACAGTCATCAGAATGGTAATGATGGAAACAGCAACATTCACATATGAAAAAGCACAAAATAAAAAAAGACAAAAATCATATCCACACTGACAACTTTATAAAATGGTATAGAAGACTGGAAAGGAAAACAAATCTAAGGGTTATGCTACTGTGATAGATTGAATGCTATTTTTCCTCCCCTATTTCATATTTTTTCTATTATTAAAAGGAATAATTGATTTCTGAAACACAGATACCCTTGAATAACTATTAGAAAAATATATATCTCACTTCTTTTAAAACAATTTCCTCATGATCTTGAGCAGCCATGAAAAACTAGCCAAACCCACTAAGGTACCAAATTGTTTATGTACCCATCATGAAGCAACAAATTCTGACTCCTCTTACAGTCATTCAGAACATCTTTGGACACCAATAGACCTGGCCCCTGTTAGTCACCACAGGTAGAAAAGTAGAGTTCGTGCCCTTGGATCTTTCACAATGCTCAGTGAAGAATCACAGAACGTCGATGTTCAGCCAGCTGTCAACACGATAATTTTCACAAGTACTAATTCTACTTTTTAAAAAAAGAAAGTGAGGGGTGCCTGGGTGGCTTAGTCAGTTAAGCATCCGACTCTTGATTTCAGCTCAGGTTATGATCTCAGAGTCATGAGATTGAGCCCTGGGTTGGGCTGTGCATTGGGCAGGGAGCCTGCTTAAGATTCTCCCTCTCTCTCCCTCTGCCCCTCCCCACCCCCCAAAAGGTGAAAAGCTGCCACCCACCAATAATTATATTGTCAGCTGTCTCAAAAACCTGTAAAGAAATTTTAAATCTTTCCAAGTTCATAGGAAACTATGTTAGGATCTGAACTAGCTCAAAGCTAAAATAGTAAGTGCTCTGCCTCTATCTCAAAACACCCAAAAGTCTGAGGCAATTGAGGGATATGCAATTAAACTTGCCTGTTAATAAAGTACAGTTAGATTTAGGGAGTCATGCCTACCAAAGAGGATTTCCATAAGAGAAGATGTACTGTTGCACAAAGATTTAGCTAAATAAAAAAAAAAATTGAAATACAAAGAATACTTTAACTTACCATCTCGGCTGCCAGTCACAATTTCTGGTGCGCCTTCCCCAATTCCCAGTCCACCTACACCATCTATGGTATTTATAATTTCCTTATGGCCCTTTACGGAATATACTGGGATCTCTGGAGCTTCCAAATTCCTGAACAACACAACACAGCTTCTTACTTACTCCATGTGTCCCGAACATTTAGTGCACTACTGAAATTTAAGAATGCATACTGTACTTAGATTTTTGTTTAAAAATAAGGGCTTTGCTGTGAAGCTAATTTATACATTTCCTTCCAATATTCTCTCCCCACTTGAGCTTCTTTCGAGCCCTCAATGAGAACTGTCATAATTCAACTTGGAACTCTATGTCCTGAGCCCACTTAGTGATTCTCGGAGATAATCTATCTAGGACCTTTGCACATGACTTACCAGACAAGCTTGATAAAAAATGTGGGCTCCTCCCCATATGTAATGGATGAGGAGCCCCAAATCGGCTAACCCTTTGGGTCACTGAAATCTAATAATCACTACTTTAAACAGAGAGTAAATTCAAAGTAATTCAGAATGCTTTTTCCAAATAGGTCTTGGAAGTCTGATCTTGAGATCTTTTGGAAGGATAAAATATGAGTAGTGTTTACTTTGTATACATTTCTCCCTTTATAATGTATTATTTTCTCACAAAATTCCATACTATTTTCCTCTCTTTACATATTTTTCAGTGTATCATCATGCTGGTCAAAACAAAGGCAAGTGTGTCTAAGTGTAGTTTAGTTAAGAGAAAGAAACACAGAAAAGTACACACCACGAGTGCCTGAATCTACCCAAGATGGCAGGGTGATGAATGGTTCAAGTAGGTTACGTTAATATATCCCTTCACCTGTCTCCCTTTTTTCTACTAGAGCTTCTAAATCGTATTTTTCTATAACAAATCAGTTTCTGATAACCTACACTTAAAAAAAACTAATGTAGCTATCCATGAAATGTAATCCTACCTTATTACTAGGCCACGATTTATTGGTCAAATCTCCCTAATTAAAATTTCAGGTAGCTCAACCTAGTTCAGAGACACTGTTTATCTTTGTAGCATCATTGAAAGAATCAAGACTAAACAGGGCTGAGATTCTTCTTAAAAGAACTGTTTTACTGTTTTTACAGACTTTAAAACACTGCTTTTTATAACATGAAATTATAAGACTTAACAATGAAAATAAGTCAGTAATACCTGTAACTATTCCAAGGCACTCTGTTAGGAAGACAGTCAACAGTTTATATATTTTGCATATTCTTATACTGAAATACGTTATTTTTAAAAATAACAATCAGGCTCATCTCTCCCCATTTCTTTGAAAGAATATGACACAGCATATAAGAACCAGTAAGCATTCCAACAAATGCGAACTTAAGTATTTAGCAGTTAAAGCAAAGGGAAGTTAAGATATAGCTTCATTCTGTTTTATATCGTGATTCTAAAATAAATATGTCAGAGTAATTCAATTACAAAGGAACAGATTCTAAGTGAGAGTCAAGAAAGGTCACCTTTGAAAACACAAGGCAGAGACGATCGTTTCTTTCTAGAACATTACTATATATACTTTACATAGTTAAAATAAGAGATATTCTTGAAAAGTAATTAAGGAGAAATATCAATTCCTGCAAATTAACTTAAATATGAGGAAATAACTCTAGGTAGAACATGAAAATTACAAACATTTGGCATAATTACAGTTTTGTTCATTTATAACAGGTTTATACTGATTTGTTCAACAGATGTTTTCCTAAAAAGTTGTGCTTAGATGTTAGCTAAATTATTAAAAAAATTTTAATAAATTGAGGATTCTACATTAAAAAATTAAACAAAAAAAAATTCAGTAGATTATTCTGTAATGCCAATTGTCCTGTTGATATGTTAACAATATCAAACTTCTCTGTGTTACACATGTGTGGGGAAGAGCCCTTTATGTACATTTACAAAGTATTAAATGCTAGCACCAAACAGCTGGTGTGGAAATAAATACTGGTAACATTATGCAAAATATCTACAGAAAAACAGTATTTTTAAAGGGGTTTTGAATATAAAATCTAAAAATGTGTATTAAAAGACAATTCTTGCATTTTTATAAATAGTTAAAATTGAACAAGAAATTTTAAAATTAGAATTCTCTCTTTCAGAGGAAGAGCAACAAGACTACTCAAAGGAATAGCCTACCTCATGTCTTAGTATTGATTAAATAATCTTACCATATATGAAGGTTTCCAGCAAAATCTCCAGTAGCTAAATATCTCTGCTGTAAAGATGTTGCACCAAATGTTCCACATTTAATGGGTTTGGCCTTTTCAATCTTGACAGAAGGGAGGAAGAGAGGATACATTATTTATATAAGCAGCTATTTATAATTCATGATATTTATGGCTCTATTATGGAACTTTAATAAGACACATAATATAAAAAGCAATTAAAACATTTTCTGATCAAAATTATCATGCATTTCCTCTAGTCACTTTCCTATAGTTTAAAAGTATGTAACTGTCAAAGAGAATGAGTTTTAATTTTGCCTTTTCTCTCATCTCACTAATGAGACATTCAAATACTGACAAGTATACCATCTCCATTGGTTTGCAAATATGAAAATTTCAGCATTTAATGTGCCATTCTTCTTTAAGATCCTCAGCAGAAATGAGAACATAATGAAGATATTATTCTTTCCAGATGGCTTCTGGAACAAAAATGTTTATATGTCTCTTATAGTTTTCCCTGCAGGACCCTATAAATTGAGAATGTTTATGTCCTTATTCTCTCTGGGACCTTATCAATGCATAGAGATTTGTATACATGTGAGTACCAGAGGCACTGCTATTGGTATGGATTAGACAGTATTTTGATGTTTCTTTAAAAAGCAACTGCTCCCCGTATTGCGTATAATCACAGTAGTAACACAACTACACACTGATGTACTATTTAATTAATATGGCTTATGGAAATCATGTATAGATCATATCACCAAAAGGGTCCTCGGAAATGATATCATATCCCGCCAAAGCAAAGAGCTTGAAGCATACAGCTTTATACACTTGCCCAACTCAGGCATTCAGCATTTTTAATGAGTTCCTACTAAATGCAAATCAATGGACTAGGCAGAATAGGATACAAACATGAAGGAGACTGGCCATGCCCTCAAGAAGCTTACAATCAAAGCATCACTACCTCTCCGACTCCTCCCACATACACCTATGCGTTATGCTACTCTCATCTACGCCCACACCTCTGTGGGGCCTCTGCTAATCTTCTACTTCGTGATGCTTTCCATTTGTCTGCTGCCCCCACTCACCCCGACCCCACTTGCCCAGGCCACTGAAGTCCCTCCCGGAGTGCGCTGCTGCCTTAAACCCTGGGAACTCTGGGCAATGCGGAACCAGATGAGGCAGCTACCTGATACCTGCTGACACCATCCTCTAGCCCTGTATCCTCCCATTTACGGCTGGCCTCAACAGGGCAAAACTATTCCTCCTATTTAATCTCTTCTAAACTCTTAAGTTTTGTGTGTACAAAAGTAATACATGTTCCCTATACAAATTCAAACAAAACAAAAAAACAACATCAAGAAGTGAGTTTCCTTTTGATGCTCCCCAGTAGTAATCTCCATCCTTCTAGACCTTTTTCTACATATTTACAAGCATATATAGGTTTGCTTTAATATAAGAAGGCCCATAATATATTTTCATTTCACTTTCTTTTGTTTTGACATAACAATATTCTGGATATACTTTTTTCTCTCCACAGAAAGCTCCAGTTTCTAGATTTCTTCTTGTAACCTTTCAGTTCTGAGCCAATCTGCATCCCTCCTACTGGGTTTAGCCTATTTCATATAATTTAAAAAAATAATTTCCCTGACACTTCCAGTGTTTGGCTGAGCACTTCCATACAGAGTATACCTAGCAATTTTCAAAGAAAAAGAAAAGAAAATTCACTTAACACAAACTGTAAACTTTTCTTTCCTGGCTCAAAAGTATGATTATATGGTGCAGGGTTTTGGAAACTCCCAGCCTGTTGAGCTTTCTCACTGTTTGGGAGAAATTAGCAAGTTACTATGTAGCCAGGTCTACAGGAAAGCATTCACAGCCTCCTTGGAACTGCCCAGTAATGAAAAGCAGTCATCGATAACAACACATAACACGGTTGTAAAAGACCACACTGATGAGAAGCACAAAATCACAGAATCATATTTTTCTTTGTAATACATATGTGGTCTGATAGTTCAGTTATTCAGAAAACTGATATTCATTTCAGTTACTTCTCTAATTTTATAAAAGTTACCTTATAATGCAGCAACACCAAGGATCAAAATTTTGTCAGTTTAACAAAGTAGTTTCCAGGGCACCTGGGTGGCTCAGTGGGTTAAGCCTCTGCCTTCAGCTCAGGTTATGATCTCAGGGTCCTGGAATCGAGCCCCGCATGGGGCTCTCTACTCAGCAGGGAGTCTGCTCCCCCACCCCCGCCACCTGCCTCTCTGCCTACTTGTGATCTCTATCAAAAACAAAAAAACAAAAAGCCAAAGTAGTTTTCAACAACAGATCACTTACATGCTCCCTACCCTCCACCTCCCCTAAATACAAGTAACTAAAATTATGTATCAATGGTGATATAGTCCTTAATCACTATTGTGGCACAATTTCTAGGGTTAAAGTAATTCAGAGTTCCAGCTTATGCCAACTGATGAAATAGACACCAACTCCTTCCTCCATTTGTCTCACACTGGGCCTGGGTGCGCCAAGCAAGAAGTCACCAGTCATAGTTCCCACAGCTGGAGGTACAGGATGAAGATGGGCCTATCAGGTAAGCATCGGGATAGACAGGAACATGGTTCCAGGGACTCAGGGGATTAGCAGCTGTGGGGAGGTTGCATCATGTATTAACTCTCCAGGAAAATTCTTCTCAGAGACCTGGGAAGAGCAGTCTCCCATGTTCTCCTCTTCTACCACCTAAAGCACGCTGCTTCCCACAATTCCACTATCCCCTGGGGTCTCTGATGGGGTATGTCTTCTTCCTAAGCCACAGGAGAGTTTTACCTTCAAAGCTAACCTCTACTTTTCAGTCCCTATATTATACACATAGTTCTTTGAAGACTGGTAATAAAAAATTGGGAAGAAAAACTTTCCTATGTTATTATTTTTTTAAGATTTTATTTATTTATTTGACAAAGAGAGACACAGCGAGAGAGGGAACACAAGCAGGGGGCGTAGGAGAGGGATAGCAGGCTTCCCGCCAAGCAGGGAGCCCGATGCGTGGCTTGATCCCCCAGGGATCATGATCTGAGCCCAAGGCAGGCAGACACTTAACTGACTGAGCCACCCAGGTGCCCCCTCCCTATGTGATTTCTTTATCTAACTTTCACCTTTTAACCATTTGGGGCAGAGAATCTCAAACCATGCTCCTGGAACACATCAATCTTCTGGTACCAACATAAATTTACACACACACACACACACACACACACTTAAAAAAGCTAATGGATACGTTTTTCTCAAACTTATGTTTTCTTGGATATTTTTTAGCTTGCCTATTAGAAAATATTAGCAAATGTACACCAGTAAGAAAACCTGGAAATGAAGATTTAAAAATTTATGTATGGTTATTTCATGTGATATCAAGACCACAGTATGATAAAATAGCCAGATTTTTCTACTGGAAAACCCCTTCTTTGTGAGGAATTGGAACTTATTATACCAATATTTTATGGAGTTCCAAAAACAGCATCACAATGTTCAGACATTTTGGCTCCTGAACACATCTGAAAATCCCTACCTTAAAAGGAAAGAAACCAGAGAACCACTCTATTACAATAGATCCTATACTAGATATTTCCATGTGTCATTGCACAAATTCTGAAAGTCAGTCTTTATTGAAATATAATGGAATGAAATAAAATGCACCTACATTTAGAGTGTCACCAAGGCCTGTGGTAGAAAAAAGGTACAAAGCTCTTTGAAATCTTGCCTTGATTCTCTGGCCTTATTTCCTGCTTCTCTCCTCTCTACTACACTCCAGCCACACCTGCAGCTTAGTTTTTTGCTCTTCAGACACAACGAAGTCGATTCTACCTCAGGACATTTCCATTTACTATTACCACTGCCTGAATTGCTCTTCCCTCAGATCATCATGTCTTTCTTCTCCTAATTCAGATTTCTGTTTAAATGTCACCTCCTTTAAGAGACTTTCCGTGCTCCTCGATTCTGAAGTGGAACCCCTAAATCACGATCACTCACCCAGTTTAAACTTCTTTATTGCATTTACCAATAAAATTATTTATTCAGTTCTCTATCCCCATCCTTTCTAGAGTGAGTGCCATGAGAACGGGACCTTGTCCCATCTGTTAAACACTTTGTAGGTGGTCAACATTCATTGACTCAAAGCATAAAGGAATATCTATCAATCTCTCATCCTAGTGCCGGGGAGAGAGAAACCATTACTGAAGTCCATATTCTCATTTCTCCCACGTTTTCACATGATACACCATATAGTTTCTGGTGTCATTTATATGCAATGATGAAAACAGCATCCATATATTGAATACATATATCAGATATGTTCTAAATGGCTAGGCCATCCCTTTTCTTCCTAACACAACTGCAAGCAAAGTATTTGGAACACTCCTTTCCAGATGAGGAAGCAGGTTCAGAGGACGGGGCTTGCTCAAGGTTCCTAGAGCCAGGAAGACTCCAAGCTCTTTATACTAAACTAGGCTGCCCCCAGATCTACATGTAAATCAATTAAATAAAGTTCAGTATGTAGCCCCCATTCAATAAACACAAGAGTCATTAGAAGTACCAAAGAAATGTTCCAACCTTGAAATGGATTGGTGAGGGAAATGGTATAGTCACTGCATCTACTTTCAGATTTGTGTCCTTCAGTTTTTACCTTGATTCGTATCTTTACAAGATATAAATACATGGTATTTATGCTTCCCTCATGTTTTTTCTCCTTATATCCAAGAAAAATAAAGAGATTTATAGGTAGTAGTAGTCTGCTGTGCCAAGAGTCAAATTCAACTCAAAATATAAGAACATTAAAAAAACTCAAATGTATAAACATCATCTGCAGGACAGTGAGGATTGCAGTTTGCTGAGAAGGGCTGAGCTCTGCTGGCAAATGGTCTTACAGAAGCAGGGGTGTTTTCTCTTTCTAAGATATTCATGGAAATCATAATAGCTTTTTTAAGAAGGGGTGCTGGAGTGAAGCCAACTTTTTATAGTTAATAAAAAGGCTCCCTCCCTGCCTGTTAAATACTTTTATCTTTGAAAAGAAAGATTTTAAAAATCCAGTGGTTACTTAAAATTTCTCTTGCTGGGGAAAAAAAAAAAAACCTGGCTAAAAAGATTTTATAAAATGTGTTCCACAGGGGCACCTGGGTGGCTCAGTGGGTTAAAGCCTCTGCCTTCGGCTCAGGTCATGATCCCAGGGTCCTGGGATTGAGCCCCACATCAGGCTCTCTGCTCAGCGGGGAGCCTGCTTCCCTTCCTCTCTCTCTGCCTGCCTCTCTGTCTACTTGTGATCTCTGTCTGTCAAATAAATAAATAAAACCTTAAAAAAAAAAAAAAAAAAGAAAATTAACTTAAAAAAAAAATGTGTTCCACAAAGAAAATTTGGTATATATTAACAACTTTTGCTGTATGACACACCATAAATGATCATTTTGGACCCAGCTGTTGGTTCTCTTTGTTACAATAAGTGAACATGATTAAGGAAGCCCATGATGGATAATTCCCATGAGAGCTATTTTTGTTCTGTCTGTGGGTGGGTCTAGTACAGCCTGTCAGTATTTCCTCCTCCATATCCCAGCACTACTTTAATTAACATTAAAAGGGTTAGTCAACCAAATGGTAACAAGCACTGAACTCAGTGGCACAGGGACTAAAAAAGGAGAAATTTATTACCTTATTATTTTTACAGTATAAACATCCACAACTGTGATTCCATTTTTCAGGGCCATCCCTCGTCCTTTATGCCAATTAGAGAAAAGCTGTCCTTTATAGGATGAGGAAGTCTCACATTTGTCAAGTTTGATGAGAAAGAAACAGATTTCAGCTTTCCCTGGAACCCTGCAACCCTGTGTGTGGTAGAGCGAAGTGCTCAACTGTACGGGAAGGCCCTCATTCCCTGTCTGTCCTTAGTAACAAGAAAAGGCAGCCGTCAATGAAGACCTATTTGCTTCCTTCACACATTTTTACCTTGGATGCATGAGCTGTGGAACACATGACTTGAAGTGGTTCCACAATGAAGACCTAAGTATTTCATTAATTCATCTAGCCCAATGGTAGTCAACACTGGTAAGTTGTTAGATTCACCTCATTGAAGTTTTAAAAAGTTCAACCTCGTTGAAATTTTAAAAATACTGATATCTAGGCCTCACTCTAGTGTAGTTGCAAGAGTCCCACTGCAGGGTGCCTGGGTGGCTCAGTCATTAAATATCTGCCTTTGGGTCAGGTCATGATCCCAGAGTCCTGGGATTGAGCCCCACATGGAGCTCCCTGCTTTGCGGGAAGCCTGCTTCTCCCTCTCCCACTCCCCCTGCTTGTGTTCCATCTCTCGCTGTGTCTGTCAAATAAATAAATAAAACCTTAAAAAAAAAAGTCCCACTGCATCAGAATTCCTTAAGGTGGGACCAAGGCATGAGTATTTTAAAACACACACACACACAAACAACAGCAGCGACAACAGAACATACTCAGCTGATCCTGACGCACAGTGAGGGTTGAGAATCACTGAGCCTGTATTAAACTGATACCCTTTTCCACTGCACCATCACAGCCAAATGTAATCTAAGTTCTTTTTTTTTTTTTAAAGATTTTATTTATTTATTTGACAGAGAGAGATCACAAGTAGATGGAGAGGCAGGCAGAGAGAGAGAGAGAGAGAGAGAGAGAGAAGCAGGCTCCCCGCCAAGCAGAGAGCCCGATGCGGGACTCGATCCCAGGACCCTGAGATCATGACCTGAGCCGAAGGCAGCGGCTTAACCCACTGAGCCACCCAGGTGCCCCGTAATCTAAGTTCTTAAAAGTGTTTTTGCATTAGTCTTATCCTCTCTTCAGGAGGCTCTTTAGAAGAAGAAACTCATCTTTCAAGTACCTTTTGTCCTTCTTTAACATAGTATCTTGAAATAGTAGGTTGCCAATATATAGAGACAAAGGGCACTATTTCACTTTGTGGAACAAGAGTATTCCTGAAATGTACACAAAGTATATTTTATTTTTAAAAAGTCACAAGTCTGTAAATGCTCTCTGGTGAAATTTGATGGTATTTGGTATTTGTTCCTAATATTTACCTGTCAGTTTCTGTCTGCTATTCCAATGTTTCCCATTTGTTCAAACCCTGATGCCAGTTGTTTAATGATCAATAAGCCAATATTTAAATTTCCCAAGATACATCCTTATACAGATATACGTTCACTCTTTCTTTTAACAAGCAATTTATTGAATGGCTGAACCTTACAAACCACACTAACAAAAGACACTAACCTTACTCTCCAGGAGCTTACAATCTAATTAGAGATAAATGGGACACAATTACATACTCCTGGAGCGGATAATAATCACCAGAAGGATGCAGTGTAGAGAAGTTTGTGAGGAGATCAGAAAGGGATTTCCTAAGTCAAATAATCTGAACTGGACCCTAAAATAGCAACATTAACAGTTGCAAAGGGGCTAAGTGGTGTGCAACTGAAGGCAGGTAGAAGAGAATAAGCCATGTTTAGGAACTCTTGAGTACCTGGCTAGAAAAGACAAACTGAACAAGAAAACTGGCACTCATAGAAATTTAAAGTGGGATGGGACCTTATATACCTTCACATCCAAGCTTGCCAAACTGTATTCATCCTTTATCTACCAGTTTAATGCCTATCTGGTCCAAGCAGACTCTCTCCATTGTTTTAAACCCTGGAGTTCTCAGCCTTCTCTGTAGTCTGTTAGAACACTAAATACTTATGACTGATCACCTGAAATCGATGCATTTTAAAAACAAGTGTAAGAATGTTAACATCATTATTCTCTAATTCTTTCACTAATGATCTTCACTAAACTTGTGAACCTGATCTTGCCACACCCAGTTAAAGTCCTTCAGTGATGTACCGTTTAAAAAGGAGTAGATCTTTTAAATGACCTAGACCTTGCAAAGTCTGCTCCCTTCCCGGAGCGTCCACTGATGCTGTTTTCTTTGGAAACCACCTCCTCTACTCCTAATTTAGCCTAGTTAGCTTCTACTTATCCGAAATCTGTTTCACTCTCATAGAACCGTGTTACTTTACGTTAGAGAATACATCTCGGTTTGTATTTATGCATCGTCGGTTTGATTATCTAACTGATTCTCTCTCCCACTAGAAAATAAACTCCATGAGACCCGAGACAGTCTCATTCACATGCCTGGGATTACTAGGCAATGAACTGGTAACTTGTTGAAAGAATAAATGGTTACGGGGCGCCTGGGGTGGCTCGGTCGGTTAAGCGTCTGCCTTTGGCTCAGGTCGTAATTCCAGGGTCCAGAAATCGGGTTCCACATCCGGCTCCCTGCTCCGCTGAGAACATGCTTCTCCCTATACCTCTCTCTCTTCTGTTTCTCATGAATAAATAAAGAGAAATACTAATAATAAATGGTTGCGTTGTCTCCTCCCATTACAGTGCAGGCATCCCGGTGCCTGCCTTGTCTCTGCTTGTATGAAAGAATATTTTACTATTTACTATTTATATTATTACTTAAATCGACTCTCCACAAACAACTGCCCACCGCCTAAAACCTCGAATTTAGATACGAAGTCTTAATGTCACTTCCCAGAGACCTCGTGGTGGAACGGAAGAGTGGCTGCAGGAAGGGGCCAGCAGGGAGATGAACTGGCCAGCGGAGAGTTCAGGACTCGAACCAAAGCCTTTTACGTCGGAAGTATTCCTCAATCTGCGATCACCTTCGCTGGTTCCGCGCAGCTCGAGCTGTGCTTTTGGCGGACGCTGGACGGAGGCTGGGGCAAAAAGAAATACAAACTTCCCCCACCCCCGGATCCGCACTCGCCCCCTCACCAACGGCAGATCCTGGAACTGGGCAGTCTCGCCCGGCACCCACCTCCCGAAGCAGCTTTAGGTCTCCGTGCTGGATCTCGTACAGTTGGATGACGCCGGTGCCCCGGGCGAAGTTGCCCATGGTCACAAATTTGGCGCTGCAGGGCACCCATTTACAGTCAAATACCGTGTAGTTGAGGCCCTTCTGGATATGGGCGATGATCTGAGGCTTCTCGAAGGCCGACATGGTCCAGCCGGTTTCCCCTCCAACCACCAGCACATCCAGAGTCTGACAAAACACTAACCGGGAAACCAAACTCCAAACATAGACAACAGTTTCCACCCACCTCCCACTTGCCGTAGTCGCCTTGTTCGCCCTGGCAAGCTGGTTTAGTTGTCTCAGATAATGCCTGATGCGCTACTGAAGTCAAGCCGATAGTTCTTCACTGACAGCACAAACTCACTCATCGTCTTTACCTACTGCCATTCCCCCATACACATATTGGAGATGGCAATTGCTTCGGCTGTGAGTGGCGGAGCCAGAGGGGCACCAGAGAAATCAGGCATATTTTAGGATGTCCCCTCCTTCCTACCCCAGCAAACGCACAAAACCCTGCTTCAGGTCCTCTGCGTGGGACTTCTTAGGAAACGGGGCGGGGGCCTGGGGCTGGTTGGCGGACGCTGGACCCTGCGTGGCGCGCCTGCGCGGTGCGGCGGCGCACGCGTTCGAGCCGGAAGCACATGTCGGAGCTGGAGATAACCGGGCATGGAAACGGAGATGGAGGCGCAGAGCGCCGGGGCCGAGGACGGGTTCACCCAAGTTACCCGCAAGGGTGGCCGGCGGGCGAAGAAACGGCAGGCTGAGCAGCTGTCCGCCGCGGGGGACGGCGGGGACGCGGGCCGCATGGACACGGAGGAGGCCCGGCCCGCGAAGAGGCCCGTTTTCCCTCCCCTCGCCGGGGATGGATTCCTGGTACTAGCGGGGACCGTGGGACGGGAAAGGGACCGGAGCCAAAGGTGGACCATGCCGGTGGTCTCTGGGGGATGATGAAAGTGCGGGGGCTCTTCTTCACTGACGTCCTTAAAGAAGTGACTCTCTTGCACGAAGTTCAGTGTTTCAGTTAAAGATAGCTTCTTGTGGAAGAGCTGTCAGTTTACAGCTCCACCTCCATCCCTCGATGCATCTCCCGACTTGTGTGTTCTTTTATTGTAGAGTGGGAAAGAAGAAACAAGGAAAATTCCAGTCCCAGCTAACAGATACACGCCATTAAAAGAGAACTGGATGAAGATATTTACTCCTATTGTAGAGCATTTGGGACTTCAGATACGGTTTAACTTGAAGTCGAGGAATGTGGAAATTAGGGTAAGGAGAATGTCAACCATTTCCCAATATATTAGGGTTTCTTTTTCCTACACGAGTGAAAAGGCGTGAATAGACTTTCCTTAATGGGACTTATTTTGTTAAGTGGTCGTTATGCAGTTTTCTCAAGTAGTATAGTGAGTTTGAACTTCTTGAATGTCTTCAAAATCTGCTTCAGCACAAATGCTAGTTGAATTCATAAGGTGGACAAAAGGTCATAACCAAAATATTGGTTATGCCTGTGCGTGTATTTTATGATGCTCGTAGCAGAGCAGGGAGCCGGATATGGGGCTGGATCCCAGGACCCTGCAATCATGATCTGAGCTGAAAGCAGCCACTTAATTGAGACACCCAGGTGTCCCTTAACTTACCTTTTAAGTAGGGATCTAAGTCCCAAGTTCATCTGACCAACTCTTTGAACCTTTTTATGTCCACACCTGTGGGGGACTTTGCTGTTTGAAGAAAGCCCTCTACTCCGTACTCTGTTTTCCAGCCTCAATTCCAGGCATCCCTTGGAGTCTGGCTCGAGTGCTTTCTTCTTTAGGATTGCTTTGTGTTTCAGTCATTTCTGCGGAGCCTACGCTCTTACTGTGCTTGGCTGTCTTACGACTCGCAGGGGCATCAATTAGGATTCCATTCACGCCTGTTGGGACTGCAGGATGCCAGGCACACAGCGGTGCTTTGGCATGCCCCACGTCATTTTAATCTTTCAGACAGGCCTGTGAAGTAGTCATAATCCCCACCATTTAGATGTGAGGAAATGGAGTCAAAGGAGTAGGTTAGTCAGTGTCATCAAAGTCGTTCACTAGCAGGTGAGTCTTGTTAGTCCTGAAAGGATCCCCCACTCTGACCGTTTTTATTTTACAAATGAGAAAACTTAAGACCTGGAGCACCTATGGGACTTTCCCAAGTTCACATACAAGATTGGAACTGTGAGCTAGTTTTATATGTGCATTATACAACCTTGCGTAGTTAGAAATTTGTCAAATATGTAGTCTCCTCAACTAAATTGGAGTCTTTGTGGAAGAATGAAAATGATACTTTTGGAATCAGACCTGTTTCAGAATTCTGCCTTTTTCACATTTCAGTACTTCAGTTTTCTCAAATATAGAACTTATCGTATTACGTAGCTTTCAGAAGCTGTTGTGTGTGAAGCACCTTTTGCGGTGCCTGTCACTTTTAGTGGCTGGGATTTTATGAATAGCAGCTATTTCTGCAGTTACCTAGTAAAGCCTTTAAGGACAAGATCCCTGCTTAAACCATTTGTGGTAGTTAGTCCTGTAGTTGGTGCTTTGGGAAACATCAGCATTTGATGACGATTATAAGCTGATGATCACTCCTAGTGTTGTACTAGAATATTTTCATCTCCAGTCATAATATGTGCCTCTTTTTTTTTTTTTTTTAAACAGACTTGTAAAGAAACCAAGGATGTTAGTGCGCTGACAAAAGCAGCTGATTTTGTGAAAGCCTTTATTCTTGGGTTTCAGGTGGAGGTAAGTGATTTCATGACATCTAAAATAGGTGCTTAAAAACACTTAATATGAGGAGCACCTGGGGGGCCCAGTTGGTTAAGTGTTGCCTTCAGCTCAGGTCATGATCCCAGGATCCTGGGATTGAGCCCCGCACTGGTCTCCCCACTCTGTGAGGAGCTTGCTTCCCCCTCTCCCTCTGTCTGCTGCTCCCCCTACTTGTGTGCGCTCTCTCTGTCAAATAAATAAAATCTTTTAAAACACACACACTTAATACGTATGTTTCAGTGGTTGGGCTTTTTAAAAAAATTGAGTTTTCTAGGTCTGGTGAATTTTAACTTAATAGTTATTCTCAGGTATCTAAACGGAAGGGCTTCACAGCATTTATATTTATGTTGTAGGACGCACTTGCCCTCATTAGGTTGGATGATCTCTTCCTAGAGTCTTTTGAAATTACAGATGGTGAGTATAAGGTGGTCTTTTCCTGGTAACTATTGTACTGCCGACTTTGTATTGCTGGGGACTCTTAGCTTTCTAATAGCATCAGTTGACCTGTATTATTAGCCAGTTTTAAAAATATATATATATTTTTTTATCTTTTAGTAGGGAAATTTAGGTAGTGGTTAAAGTTCATTACAGAGCAGGTGGTATCCTGGAATTGCATGTCTCCTGAGGCTTTGATCTCTCATTTAGTGAAACCCCTAAAGGGAGACCACCTGTCAAGGGCAATAGGAAGAATCGCTGGCAAAGGAGGAAAAACCAAATTCACCATAGAGAACGTGACACGGACACGGATAGTTTTGGCTGATGTGTAAGTATCTGATCTTGGGAAAATTACTGTCCTAACTTATGTTTGTTTGACCTTTTGCTTATTTCAAGAAGTCATAAAGTTTGTACTTTATGCATAATATTGCTACTGACTCTTTGTCAATATATGGTTCTGAATGAAATACATAGTTACCTCGAAAGCAGATTAAGTTATCTGAGGAAATCTTGGGAATTCTAGCTTTTTTCCTCAGTTAGCAATAAAGAACAATAAAGGGCACATGGTGGCTCAGTCGGTTAAGTGTCCGCCTTTGGCTGGGAACCCGCCTTCGGTTGGGTTCACCTTCAGTCCGGGTTCCCTGCTCAGCTGGGAGCCTGCTTCTCCCTCTGCCCCTCCCCCTCTTCATGCTCATTCTCTCTCTCTGTCTCTCCCTCTCAAATAAATAAAATCTTAAAAAAATAAATAAATAAATAAATAAAGGAAATGTTTAGAATTACTATTAAAAAAAGTTACATGACAGGTGAAGATTTAAATAGTGTCCGAGGGAACTCCTAAACCAATGGGAGACAGCAAGGAGTGGGGTTTTTTAATGCCATTGTGACTTTCCTTTTTAAGAAAGAAATATATGTGTATAGTTTTATCTATATTTTAGAACTATATATAAAGGCCTTTCATAAAAGGACAATGAGGATTGCACGTTGGGTGAAAAACCTGGGAGCAGCTCTGTGACAGAAAGATGATGATATAGGCTTAAAGTAAGGGTGCAGGAAGTCAAGCTGGGATTAGCCCTCGTGGGGGTTGAAGCTGCTCGGGGCCAGGTTGGGGTTGCTGGCAGATGGTGTGGAGATTAGATAATGCCATGAAGTTGGGGGACAAAGCAGGTGACTGACAAGAGGAGGGACGTGCCTGCGGCTAAGCACAGAAATAATTATATTTAAAATCATACTAATTTGGCTGTAAACTCGTGCTCACCATTTTTTAGAACCTAAATTTTAGACTCTGTTTTACACTCGAGGGATAACAATGATACCATGTTGATGCCCTGAAAGACAGGTTCATTATAATATATCAATTGATATATATAATATATATATCAATATAATATTGATCTTTGTGAGGGGAGCCTGAGGGGGCCATGAGGAAAACTTGTTTTGCACTAGACATTTTAAAATTTTTTTTTTTTTTTTTAAGATTTTTATTTGACAGAGATCACAAGTAGGCAGAGAGGCAGGCAGAGAGAGAAGGGGAAGCAGGCTCCCCGCTGAGCAGAGAGCCCGATACGGGGCTCGATCCCAGGACCCCATCCCAGGACCCCGGGATCACGACCTGAGCCGAAGGCAGAGGCTTTAATCCACTGAGCCACCCAGGTGCCCCATTTTAAAATATTTTGAAATGCATACCACATTTGGAAGTATCATACATAGCCCTAAAAACCTTTGCTAACTTAGAAATCTGAAAATGCAACTGATGTGCTAACCAAATTATAGATACTATGATGTATCAAATACTAAATATAAGCCTGCTTCCCCCTCTCTCTCTCTGCCTGCCTCTCTGCCTAATTGTGATCTCTCTCTCTCTCTCTATCTGTTAAATAAATCTTTGAAAAAAAAATTCTAAGTATATTGATGTGTTAACATAAAATTTACTAGTCGAACTGGTTTTTTTAACAGCTTTACTGCAGTATGATTTACATACAAAAAACATTACCGTATTTAGTATCCTGTTCAGTGAGTTTTGGCCAGATCTATAGTCCTTTGATCCCACCTCAGTCCCAGGCAATCACTGATCTGCCATGGTTTTACCTTTTCCAGAAATTTATATAAATGGAAATACACAGTATGCAGCCTTCGGGGTATGGCTTCTTTTAATTAGCATGCTATTTTGAGTTTCTCCATTTCCTTGGGTATGTCAGTAATTTCTCTTTACTGCCAAGTACTCTCGTAAGGTATTGCATTTTGTTTATCCATTCAGGTTTGATGGACGTTTGGGCTGTTTTCAGTTTGGGTTATTATGAATAATGTTGGCTATTATTGAATTACTTTTGTATCTTTTGGGGTTTTTTCCCCCAAACTGAATTACATACAACTTGAAATTGAGTATACTGTCTTGAGTGTTCAGTACAAATAGGCTAATTGGAAATCCACATGTTCATCCACTTACTAATTGTGGTTAACCATAATGTGGACTGGTATGCACCCGTAGGTGTTGTTTTGATGAGTTGCTGATAACCTGGTGGTAAAATACAGTATGATGTGAGCAAGATAAAAAACTAAAAGCTATCCCCAATGTATTCAGTGCTTCAAATGGGAAACAGTGTTGCCTGTGTGTCCCGAGACCTCCATACCATCCCAGCCACTGCCCTATCACTTTGGTGGCTTTGGCAGCAAAACTGCTCACACTTCATTCGTGCTCACTGTTCCTCATCTTTCTTGCGCCATTGTCAAGAGTTTTTATCAAAGTTAGACACACACATACTTGAGCAAGCCCCAAATTTCTACCACCTACCTCTATTTCCTCTTCTCAGAGGAAATAATTTCACCTCTTCCAGGTCATTTTTAAAAACTATTTATCTCCAGATTTTCAAATACCGTGTTTACATACCAGCTTTTTTTTTTCCTTCATCATTGACTTTCTACCATAAAAGATGAAAATTTAGCTTTTTTTCATCTCTCCCCCAACTTCTACACCGTGTACTCAGCCCTTCTGACAGCCAGGTTGCTCATGTGTCCCTGAGATCCCCATACGCTGTGGGTTTTGTGAGACCGATGTTCAGCGTTACCTGTGCACGGGGTCAGCGCTCGGTGTGTCAGCAGCCGGCCCAGGTGATGACCGTGATTCTGTGATTATTCTGTCTGCCCTTTACCATTTTGTTTTCACTTGAAAAAATTCTTACTCACGTTTGTGCTTTCTAATTATCAGTACAATTGAGTAAAAATCTGTACGTCATCGTATCTCCCCGCAGTTTATCTGGGTGCATCAAACGTTTGAGCAGCCTCTCCTGGAGTCTGCTTCCTCAGAAGCACTGCTACCCTCTCTGCCTGGCACCTGGTTGGCGTCCTAGGTTCTCCTTTCACCTGTGCTCTTCCGCTGTGTGAATCCCTTGGTTGTTGGGTTCTCTTCCCTGAGTATTCCTTAAGGTTCTTTTGTTTTTCTTTTTTAATTTGAAATTTTATGTATTGCGAAATGAGCACCACAGTAGGTCTGGTTAACACCCATCACCACAGTTACAAATTTGTTATTTTGTGTGTGAAACTTTTAAGATTTACTCTTAGCAACTTTCCATCATGTAGCACGGTGTTATTGACTAGATTGACACACTGTACATTATATCCCTGGGACTTCTTTTCTAACTGGAGTTTGTGCTGTTTGACCCCCTTCACTCAGGTTGCACACCCTGCCACCCCTGAGTACTCCTCATTTTGGTGCCGTATATAGTCCATGAGCTAGCTTAGCTAACATTTTTTGAGAACTTCTAGTTCCAAAAGTGTCCTCTCTCCTGGCCGACTATACAGTTCTGTTCTATAAATCACATCCATTGAGAATTTTGAAGACATTGCTATATCCAAGCTTTCAGTGTTGCTGTTGAGAGATCCAACGCCATTTTTATATCTGATTCTTCGAGCGTCCTATCTGGCAGTTGTATTCTCTTCATCCAGTGTGTTCTGAAATTTCATAGTGCTATGTGTTAGCGTGGGTCTATTTTTATTCATCTTACTGGGCCCTTTCAAACTAGACACTCATTTTCTACAGTTTTCAGAAATTTTCTTGAATTACTTTGGTCTTGCTTTTCTTTGCCCCTTCCTATCTGGAATTCCCTTCTGTAACTCTATTCTTAACATCGTATCCTTGATTCATGGGTACATGAAAAGAGCTTTTCTGACCTTACTGATCTGATTTTGTTTTTGCTGTTTCATTCTTTTTCCTCCTGGTCTCCATTTCTCTTTCTTCACCTTGCTGGTTGTAGCCTCTGTTTTTGTAGTAGATGCTTCCGTCGGATTCTGGAGATCCTCCGTGTGTGTGCCACATGTACAAGAGGGAGGCAGTAAAGAGCAGACCAGAAGCCCTAAGCTCATGGGGTCTGGAGCGTGGGGGACGCCAGCTGACCGTAGGCTTCGTTTAGGGTAATTGCCAGGGTATTTCTGATGCATCTTGTCTTTTTTTTTTTTTTTAAGATTTTATTTATTTATTTGAGAGAGAGGAGGAGAGTGTAGAGGGAGAATGAGGAGCAGACTCCCTGCTGAGCAGAGAGCCAGATGTGGGGCTCGATCCCAGAACCCAGGGATCATGACCGAGCTGAAGGCAGATGCTTGACTAAGCCACCCAGGCCGCTTCTCTTTTAGACTTTTTTATTGAGGTCAGGTTCCCGCAGAGGAGCATTCTCTAGGCTCTTTGCTGCCAGACTTTGAAGCCTGGTTAAGGAAGATAGCTGGAGGTCTCAACATCTAGTCTGCAGATATTTGCTTCCTGTTGCCCGTTTTTAACATGGCATTCCTACTTCAGCTGTACCTGGACCCCTGGTCGAGACACCAGGTCTTTTACCTTTCCCAGGGAGCAACACCATGCATCGCCCCCATAATTTTGCCAGTTACAAGGGGTGGTTGCCTGGTTGTACACAAGAGTGGGGAAGAAAATCTAGATCATCTTGAACAGACTGTGTCAGTTTTGCCCCCATTTCAACATGCCTGAGCCTGTCTGGATGACTGAATGTTCTGCGATATTCCCACTGAATTTTGGTGTCAGTTCCTGACATTTTGGAAGATGGGCTCAATAAGACAAAACACTGTATTACCCATCTTCAGTCAGCCAAGAATTTCCCTTAGTAGGGTCTGGATGATCCTGAGTAGTGAAGAAATTTAGATAACCTTGAGAAAGCTTTGCAGTTGAAATCCAGATGCTTTAAGTGCAATGTTACTTCCATTTCTGGGTACTTAATACCAGCTCTGCCATTGTGTAATCATGGGCAGGTGTGTTTATCTTTTTACTTGTAAATTTCTTTCCTCATTTATAAAATGTGAATACCACCTACCTTAATAATCCTCATGTGAGGATTAAATGGGAACACATAAAGCCCTAGCACATAAAAATCACTCACTTGCTGGTAGCCATTATTAGCCAAGAATCTTAAAAAATTCATTTCTTAAAATTATTTTTCGTAATTTTTATTGGGCTATAATACACATACCATGGAATTCCCCTTCAAAATGATTTTTAGTGTATTTAAGAGTTGTGCTACCATCACCACCATTTTTATTTAAGAACATGTATTGTGATTTTCCAGAGTTTCTGGATCATGGGATTTAGTTAAGGAAATGCTTTTGTTGCTAACTTGTCTCACATTCTCTTGCAGGAAAGTTCACATCCTTGGCTCTTTCCAAAACATCAAGATGGCAAGAACTGCCATTTGCAACCTCATCCTGGGTAATAATAATTTATAATTATAATAATAGGGAATTGAGAAACCACGTTTGCACATCAGCTCAAATTAAGCATAATGTTAAAGATTGCAAGTAGAAACTCTTAGAGGTTGGCAAATGTGGACCTAAAGAAAAAAGGAATATTTTTGCTTAGATTTCATCAGTCTGCTAGAGAAAAGAGTTTATTGGGTTATAGTGCTTAAATCTTTGCTGCGTTCCCCTGAGGTGCAGTGAAAAGCCATTCCAGAATAGCAGGCAGTGTGTTTTAGGCTTCAACGAAAAGAGAGCTGCTGATCACCATCAGTCAACTTAATTGATGCACTTCATCTTTTTTTTTTTGTTTTTTGGCTTTTTTTTATTTTATTTGAGGGTGAGCGAGCATGAGCAACTGGAAGGAGGGGGAAAGAATCTTAAGCAGACTTTGCGCTGAGGGCAGACCCTAAGGCAGGGCTCGATCTGACGGCCATGGGGTCATGACCTGAGCCAAAACCAAGAATCAGACATTCAACCGACTGAGCCACCCAGAGGCCCCAGTCTTGTTTTTCAAACTGTGCAGCAAAGTCAGTAACTTCTGGTACCAGTTACAGGATTGTAGTAGTTTGCTCTAAATGGGATTTTCCATCAGTGTCCAGATCTGATTGACTAGCTTCTTTTTTGAAATATTTAGATAAGTCCGTGCCTTTGACTCTTAGGATGTAAAATATTTTTGGAGAATATTTGGGTATGATTTATGGTTCTTCCGTTGATTTAAGAGCGATCCAGTGGAAAAATGTGCTCTTTAGTTGTAGACCGCCTATCATGTGTCTTCTATTTATGTGAGTATATTTGTATAGATGTGTTTCTTTTCCTCTGCAGGAAATCCTCCATCAAAGGTTTATGGCAATATCCGAGCTGTGGCTAGCAGAGCAGCAGATCGATTCTGATTTCAAATCAGAGACCTTTTGTCTTTGGACTCTAGAGAAAAAACCCTTGCTCTCTGCACATGCTTATAAGAAACCACACAAAGAATTTTTCAGTCACGTTAAGCCTCCGTCGCTTCTTCTGTTCTCGGCCAGAAGCATCAACAGAAAGGTTTGATAATATTCACATGCAGCAACTTGAGGATAATTCCCCTATATGAATTTATTATCATTATTGTACTTATACATTAATTATAATTTGTCACTTCATTTTATGATGAGATCGGGCGCGTTCAGGGTGGTATGGCCATAGACTGTCACTTCATTTTAAATAAAAGATTTACAGTTTATAATTCTACTGAGAAACTTGTTTAAACAGTCCTATATGAATTTATTTATAAATTTATAACTTTTTATAAATTTATAAACATTTCTTGTCTATGGAGTATAATTAAAACAATCAGCTTACAAAATTACTCTGAATCCTGACCCTTAATACTGAGTGGTATATGGGCTTTTTAGAAGCAGCAGTTTGGAATTACTGTTGTGAACAAAGGCTAATCTTTTTACCTCTTTTGTAGTTTATAAAATTAAAGACATCACAAAGCTGATGTGAGGAAGGAATTTTATTTTTCAAATAAGCACTCGATGAAAGTAGCCGACCTTACCAATGTTTCGGTAAAGGTAAAATATGGTAAAAGAATGTTTTTACCAGGAAAACTACAAAATTCTGCAAATATAAGAGCTTGTTTTAACTAGTGTCTGCCTATTCAAATACTCATTTGGTAAGTATTTAATGTAAGTATTAATCTTTAAAGTATTTAATCTTAGCAAACACTGAGATAGGTAGAATTCTGGACAATTGAGGCTGTTGGTGGACAAGGGGCAGAAAAAAATCACTGCTTTTGGGGAGTTTTCATTTTATTTCAATAACCAAGGAAGACAAATGTGCAAAAATACCTAAATTCTGTCAGCAGAGAGAAAAATGCTCTGGAGGAAGTAAAGAGTGGAGATAAAGGAGACGCAGGTATAGGGATATGTTTACATGGGGTGGCCAGGACACACCTGAACAGACCTGGTGGCATTAGCTGTGAGGTCTCTGGTTGGGGAGACAGTACAAAGGCCCGCAGCAGCAGCAGGCCCAAAACTCCAGGAACCACAGGAGGCAAAGGCAGTGGGAAGCAGAGGAAGAGTGAGTAGTAAAGCAATGAGTTAGGGCTTTGTAGGTTGTAATGATTTGTGTTTTTAACCAGTGGTAAAGCAGATCTATCTTTACTTATGGCTTATAGTCAAATATCAAACATCAATTTGTCAGGGTTTTTTTTTTTAATCCAAAAGAAGGGAAAAAAGACTACCTCATAGGAAAAAAATACTATCTCATGGCTGTGGAAGCCCAGCAAAGACTATTAGGAACACACACAGGCAAGTTTCAAATATTTTATTTTCTTATTCATACAGTATGAAGTTTTCTAAAGATCCCACAACATGACATTTCATGCAGAAGAAAAACTAAACATTCAACATAACCCCCCCCACCCACACTAAAAAAAAAAAAAAAAGGGGGGGGGGAAACCCTCGTTCCCCAGTAAGGAAATAATGCTTGCACTATTTTTCTGTAACGCCAGCCAAGATATGCACAAGCAAGAGAAATAGAAAGCATTTGCTAAAATATTTGTAACAAATACTTATGTACAAAAAATTCACAAAAGACTAGTTCCCCCTTGAAGCAGAGCACATGGCAGTTGACACTGGAACAGATCAAACCACTGGCTGGGATTATAAGCCACGTACTGATCCAGAGGAAGAAAGTTACATGTAGTGGAGATTTTCAGTTTGAACATTAACATTTCCAAAGTTTGGCAACATTATCTTTTAAAATTATGCAAATTATGTAAACAAGAGGTACATTTTAAATTGATCTACATGCAAAACTCCATGTCATGCAAGGACACCAAGCACCGGGATTTTTCTCTCACAGACAGAGCCCATGATGTGCAGCACTCAGTTGAAGGAACAGCGATGGCAGGCAGGTGTGCCCAATTTCAGATTCGTTTACCTTGATTCAACCTGCCCTTTTCCACTTATGATTATAAAACTGTTTTTCTAGAAAAACTATACAGGGGAAGACTACTTTCCTAGAAAGCTAACCAAAACGTTTTCTTCCAGCCAATAGTGCCTTTGCAGAAAAGGGAAGGGATAATAGCAAGTGGTGGAACACAAGAGGCTACTTTTATATCACACATGTAGTAAGTTAGCATCCATCACAAATATGGGCAAATCAAGAAAGAAAACCATCATGCACTCTCTATGCCTTGTGGTAAATACATTCAAAAGGTATAAATTTAGATAAAATTTTGCTCTTCTGTGGCATCAAAATTAGTAAGACTTCTTCCATTTAAGTCACAAATACACGTGGGCGTTGAGATACACACATGCACATTAAGTATCACCAATTTTTAGATGAGCTGCGAGTCTTTTGAAACAAGGGAAATTTACGGTTCAAAGGCAAGTTTAATGACAAACTGTTTACCCACATACTGAAGCGAATGGCTGTCTTCAGGTACGTGATTCTATCAGGTATTATTAAGAAATGTCTAAGGAAAATCGTGATTGCCTCAAATGGCTTCTGGCCTTTCCACAACTGATAACTTACGTTGATTCAGGGACACTTTATGTAATGGCTCCTAGTTAAGAAATAACGAAGCAGCCACAAGCTCTGTGCAGTGACTATATGAACACAAGAATGAGCTCTTGGCAGGAGCACTGCACTACACTTTCTCCTCAAGCAGGGATGTAGTAGAAGCTGCTCAGCAATGAGACACAGTCCCTGGAAAGATCTTCGTAGGTATAAATAAAATTACAAACTCCTTTGTTACAAAAATGTAATTCAGGTAAATAATAGGACATTAACAAATGCTTTGTCAATCTCTCAAAGGAGAAAGCACAGGAAAAGGAAAATAGCTGGCCTAACACCCGGCTCAAATTGTACAATTTTCTATCTATATATAAAACTGTGTGAAATAAAAGTAAGGATGTTTTATGTTCTGCTTGGCACTTTTGTACTCTATCATTTTGTTTCTGAATCAAGTAGATTAAATTAAAGCCAACCTACTACACATATAGAAAGCTACATATATCTATATATAAATATTTACATATGTATATATAGATACTTTCTCATTATAAAAGATGAAGAAAAATAAATTAAAAAGCCAACCCCTTCCCTTTCTTCACCACATTGATATGCTCTTTTTATGCTGCTGTCCTTCAGACTTTAAAGTGCTACACTGAGTTATTGAGAGAATAAGAGTTCAATAACACTTAGTTGGCTTCATGAGGCTCGTGTTGGAAAATGTGGCTTCACAGAGAAAAATACTTCCATTTAAATACACAGAGAGCATTGCTGGACGTCTTGAGCAGATCTTCAGAGATGGAGAAGAAAGCAAAAGTGTTGGGAGGTACTCTTTTAAAGAGTCACACATCTACCACCATCTTTTTGTGGATATCTAGGCCACCTACAACCTGCAACAGATAGGAACAAATCAAGCTTAACTATGTCTGAAAACTCCTTTTTACTAATCTAACCACCTGAACCAAAATTAAAATTTAAAAAATACACTACACTTTATTCTCAGAAATTGGCTTTTTTGATTGTTTTTGTTTTTAAACCTGTACTACCTACCTCTAGTTAGAATTTTCATGGCTTCTTTCTCCCAGGATAATAGGCATTTTCTTATGTTCTAGGACAACGGTTGGCAAACTTAAAAGGGCCGGAGATTATTTGAGGCTTTGTAAGGCCACACGTAATTTCTCTTGCATTTCCTTCTCCCACTTTTTTTGTTTTTTAAAAGATTTTATTTATTACAGAGAGAACTCAAGCAGGAGGAGGTGCAAAGGGAAGAGGAGAAGCAGACTCCCTGCCGAGCAAGAGCTCTATCCCATGACCCAGAGATCATGACCTGAGCCAAAGGCAGATGCTGAACTGACTGAGCCACCCACAGGTGCCCCTTTCTCTCCCTTTAACACTTTAAAAATGTAAACTGTTCTAAGCTCAAAGACACACAATACAGGCCATGGGAAGGATCTGACCCACTCTATTTGCCAACCCCTGCTTTTATATAAAGTTTAATATCCAGTAATAACCAGAGGTCCGCATAAAAATTTGTCCACAAAATCCAAATATGGGCTTAATTGTCAGTCTATTCTAGAAGGTAGTAAAAGGTACCAAATGAGTAAACTTTTCTGCACATTATTTTCCCATGGGCTTGAAGATGTGTTGAGTTGTTAGACATCTCAGTGAATAAGGACATGGTAATCTACAAGTGTAATTACCTATATTTGGAGGATAGTCTACTAAGTACAGTCTACCTAAAGAAAGTAGATAAGTCATAAATGTTCACAGCTTGATGAATTTTCCCAGAGTAATCACCCAAGTAACTAGCACCCAGACCGTCACCGGGACTCTTCTGTGGCCTGCCTTCCAGCCATCTCCGTCCTCCTGCCCTATCACACACACAGAGGGAGCCACTACTGTGACTCTAACAACCTGGATTAGTTTGAGATCTTTTTCGTGCCTGACTTGCTTCACCGAACACGTTCTTGCTAACCCATGTTGTTGGGTATAACTGCATCTGTATTATTTTTCAGTTTAAACTTACTTTAAAAGTTTATTTGAAAAATAAAGCTTGAACAGCCAATTGGTGCTACAACTTCTGCTATGAAAACATCGGGGTGCTACGCTGCCCTCATTCTCTGTGTCCTTTTACACAGAGATGATCATTTAGACTTTTCAACTAATATTCAGTATTTCCCTATAGGTCTCTGAATAACATTCCAACATTGCCTTCTCTTCGGTTTAAAGCTGTAGGCATTATCCACTGATTTCCCACCACACAAGAGGAAGATTTAGCTCTCACATACACACATCCCTCCCATCTATCTCCTACCCCAAATATTTCCCACACCACCCTTCCAATAGTTCCAGCTTCATTTTTTTTTAAAGATTTTATTTATTTATTTGACAGACAGAGATCACAAGTAGGCAGAGAGGCAGGCAGAGAGAGAGGAAGGGAAGCAGGCTCCCTGCTGAGCAGAGAGCCCGATGCGGGACTCGATCCCAGGACCCTGAGATCATGACCTGAGCCGAAGGCAGCGGCTTAACCCACTGAGCCACCCAGGCGCCCTCCAGCTTCATTTTGATTAGGCAAATTCAGCATTTTAATTATAACTATATAAAATACTATTTACAGCAAAACAGAATTGCATACTGCACATCTGTTCTGCTACAGTTAATAATTATCTTCTTCTTTGCTGGGTATTTTATGTATTTTACTAATTCAGTCTTAAACTTTTGTTCTAAATATGTTCAAATAGATGATGTAATTCTATCAATTTTATTATCTTGAAATTATTCCCAGAGCTTTCCCACCTGCTGCAATCCAGGCCTGTCATCTCTGGA